GATACGAAATTTGAATCGGCCTCGTTTCTCTCGGAGGATCAGGCCCATTTCCGGTAGGAGTGACGTTACTCAAGTGTTTCCCAAGGACCTGGGCGGCGGCGTCAGCGTCTACGAGCGCCACTTCGGAGAGACGTGATTTATTCATAGATTCTTCCCAACAACGCCATTGAATTTCTGCAACCTAAGGCCAATGGCCAAGTTCCTACCAGCACGACTTTTTCAGCACGTCTCCGGTCAGGCTGCTGTAGCTCGCCATCTATAGACGTTTCTGGTTCGTGAATCAAGGCACTGCAGCCGTCCGGCTTATGCTGCATCGCTAGTCCAGGATCAGCTCGTTTAGATTGGTATTAGAAGTCACTGCTTATTCAAATTTACCCGTTTATCCTTGAGCGGATTATATCGCGCTCCATTCAAGGAGAAGCTCATCATCATGCAACATGGGCTTGTACAGTGACTTGCGCGTGCCTGCTCAATTCTCAATTCCAAAATTAGCTAGCCGAAACAAATGAGATGGAAGGCTCCTCTCTAAGTCTAACTCTTTCTCAGCGACCGAAAAGGATGCTGCTGGCGCTGTAGTCAAACTCACGAAGTTGACCCCCAGGTTTTTGCTCTACCAGCCTTGTCCCGTGTGGTGTGAGGCGAGTGTCGACTTGGACGCCGTCCTTTAGTTGTGCCTGAGCAGTGGTTCCGATGAAAGGACGAACACGACTTCTTGCGCGGGTTCCCTTTGTTTTTTCCTTGAGTCTCAGGGTCGCGATGAATTGTATGGTTCTCAACTTGTAATGGTAGCGTGGGAATTCTGCTATCGAATCGAGTAGATTCCACCATCCATCCGTATCCGAGGGGCTCGACTTACACCCACTCCTCGATTTCCTACTGCTCTCGTAATTTGCTTCTCTGATTCTCGCGTGCTTGCTTTCTTTTACATTCCATTTCCTCTTCGAATTTTGCCACGGCCTGAGTCATTGCAGTGAAACCAACTCAGCGAAATGAAAAGCCAAAGCGGAAGGCAAACAAGAAAGTCATCAAAGATGAAGCTGCGGCCGTATTCTGTTGATTAGGGTAATTACTTGGGATACACGTGATGGCTATTTCTGATAGGATATTGAGCAAGCTAGTTTTTCCTGAATGCTGCATAATAACTAATGAATCTTACGATGCTTTCTCTCAGATACGTACTCGCTGTGCTCATCTTTTCGTGATCAACAGCTTGATTGAGCAATCGTGCTATTGCGAGTCAGGGTTCAGACAGAAGCCGCGATGCCGGCCTCTCTATCAGATCCGTTTCTAATGTCAGCTACAACTTTGCGCTCTCGGCAATCGAATCTGTGATATATGCCAAGATCTAGCCCTATCCTCTGAATGCGTACCGCTATGTGGTGCCTCACGGAGACGGGTAATTATGTAGTCGGCTCCTCTGTGAATAAATCAGGCCTTGTTCTCTTACATTCTGATTTCGATGGAGGTCTAACATTGCTATACCTTACATGAACCCTGAATACTCTCGGATAACCTACTCGTCATTGCGAATGCAGTCTATGCTTTTGTGCTTAGCGAGAAAGGAAGCTGCGAACAACTGTAATTATGATATTATCCTACATCGCACAAATTGTTATCGAATCTATTTTAAAGAGTTGATATTTAATTATTAGGTCTCTCATAAGAGTGTTCGCTTCATCCAAAAAATTTTCATCTAAACCTCCATGCTTTTACATCGTGTTGTGTACCATTCGAAAGAGAATTGTCTGCTCTACAAAATGCTATGTCCCACTTCCACATTTCTTCCAGGGTTTTCAAATTTTGGGCCTGTGAAATGGGAGGTCCGGCCGACAAAAATTGACCAAACCGACAACTATCTCTAACTTTCCCTTGGGAGAAATCAATCAATACTGTACCCTCTACTTGCATGACCTCTTCTAAACATTACACTATTAGGTTTCCCAACAAGTCGCGTCATTCCATTTCCAGACCTGGTTTTTCAACCAGAACTCGACGGTCAAGCACCATTACCTGAGATCGAGGTCGAAATTTTTTTAGCCGAGACATTGAAAAACTAGTAGAATTCAAGAACAAGTTAGGAATGTGCGCCTGGTTGATTTTCTCATCTTCTCAGGGATAATTTTTTTCAAAGAAATGCGGTCACTTTCGTGGATAAAGCACCTTACTCCTAAACACCTAAAATTCGAGCTAATTCCTAACAAACATCAAAACAAAACAAATGAGCGAATAGAGCAGAAGAAGTGCTCACAAAAGATACACCAGTTGATATAAAACAATAGCGTTTCATAAGAAGAATTTCAATTTGAAAATTGCCATGGCTTATCAGTCGGCCAATTCGAAAAGAAACAGGGCAAACCTTTTTCGGCAACCTAAGGGTGGAATGTTCAGAAGAGGTCATGAGTAAGTAGGCACAGTATTGATTGATTTCTCTCAAGGAAAAGTTAGAGATAGTTGTCGGTTTGGTCAATTTTTGTCGGCTGGACCTCCCATTTCGCAGGCCTAAAATTTGAAAACCATGGAACATAGATGGAAGAAGAACACAAATCTTGTAGAGCAGACAATTCTCTTTCGAATGGTATATGACTCGATGTAAAAGCATGGGGATTTAGATGAAAATTTTTTGGTTGAAAAAAAGCGACACTATTTATGAGACAACCTAATACTTCAACATTCTTCAATACTACAATTGATCCACCATTATCATCTTTTCATGGCAACGCTGTGGCTTTATTAACATAATCAACCGCGTGGGTAGAGTGGACTGTGTCAATGGTCTCCAGAGTCCAGTTCGATATTAACGGCTCCGATGGTAAGCGGTTTGGGGACGACCCCTGAGTTTCATGGTGGAGGAGGGGAGTTGTGAAAAATTTCCAGGAAGTACCAACGGTAGGGTGACCTTGAGGGGGGGTCGTATCGAGGCCCTCCAGAAGGGAGGGGGTTCCGTAAAAATTTTTACATGTGTCCAACGTGGCGACCTGATGTAACGAAGGGGTAACTATACGAAATAATAAATATGATCGAAATAATCAATAAAAGGATAAAGGATAAAGCATTTGCCGTTGATCAATCCCTTTTTGGGATGCGGCACGCATTCTACTTCCATTTGTACATTCGTAGTGGTTTGAATGCGATGTGGCCTATACAATGACTTGCGGGGGCCAGCCGATGTTCAAGTCAGTGTTTTTATCCTCCCAGACAAGTCTGGTACCAATTAACCGACCCCGGAGGGATGGAAGGCTTGGTTGGCCCGGGCGACTCACGACCCAGGATTTGATCCCCGGACCGCTCGCGTGGTAAGCGCGCCACTTGTCACTACACCACTTCCGCCCAAAAACAATTAAAAGGTAAAATTCAATCGGGAAGGTTTGCACTTCCTTGTACCTCATGAGAGCAACTGGACTCAAAGAGCCTAATGTGCGATATAGGTCAAGCTCACTTCAGTGCGCTTTTGATAAGGACTCAGTGGGCGCTACATCAATGCAACATCCACTCCACATCTCAGGCATTTTTATGGATGTGGTCGTCTCTCAAAATCTAACAACTGCGCCCTTGGGAAGGGATGTCCATAACCTTCGTTTCAGGATCATTTTCTTGTGCACAGCAGGCAAATCTGAACACCTAATTACATCAACTGCAACGGCCCTTGTCAGAAGCAATTTCAAATGAATGGTTTCCCTGCATGACTCATAATCTGTTCTAGTAATGAAGAGCACAATGGACTGTCTCCCCCCTTCAACTGGAGATTCGCCCAATAATAATTAGGATACACGAAAACAACATGAGATAAAGCCATAGTATAACAGCTGTGACAATGCACATCCTAGAACTATGGCGTTCATACAGTAATAGAGAATGTTAGTTATTACGCTATTATACTTATCAAACGTCTTTATTGAATGTCCCTGAGTTGAGCTGTCATCTAAAGTTCAAGCGCATCTAATTCACAGGGAAATGACGTCTAACCTTGACGTTAAAACCCACCAGTTGAATTTCCTTTGATGTTTCTTTGGTCCTCATTTTCTAACAGTTGGTAAATTATTGGGCTTGCGTCTACACTAGCTATCGTATATCAGAGTGTGTCCATTGATATTCGTTCTCCCTAGCAGCTTGAATTGTCCGATTGAGGTACATTTACAACTGCTCCAGCATTTGGTTGTTCATCGCTTCGACCGTTGCAATCTTCAAAAAAAAAATAATTATCGTGATAGCCTTGAACTGCCTGGCCATTCTGCCTTTTCCTTACATTCATAATGGATAGGATAAAGGATAAAAAAGGATAAAGCATTTGCCGTTGATCAAATCCCTTTTTGGGATGCGGCACGCATTCTACTTCCATTTGTACATTCGCAGTGGCGTTTGAATGCGATGTGGCCTATACAATGACTTGCGGGGGCCAGCCGATGTACAAGTCAGTGTTTTTATCCTCCCAAACAACTGGTACCAATTAACCGACCCCGGAGGGATGGAAGGCGATGACTCACGACCCAGGATTTGTTCACTGGACCGCTCGCGTGGATAAGCGAGCCACTTGCCGCTACACCCCAGCCCTCCTTACACTTATACTGCTACTTATTCCTCCTTTTTTCTACTTTATATTGTTTTTGTAAGACTTCTCTGATATCTGCGTCTTATCTCATACAATTATTGTTTACTATGTTCTTCGTGATTTCTGTTTTTCGTACGATTGCTCATTTATTTTGCATTTGCATTTCCAAAATATTAGAAATGCCAAAATCGTATATGACAAAAAAGGCTAAGAGATCATGTTTCATAGCATGCTACCAATCCAATTATGTTCATAGCGTCATGCATTTCCCGAGAACCGTCGTATAATGCATGTCTCTCGCAGCCATGCTAGCCGACACAGATCATCTTCAGGTTTCTTCAGGCCCCCTCAGTACTGTTTATCGAGTGTTCCGAAGGAAATATCGAGTTCGCTGCAATGACATGAACAGCAATGTTATTTTGGACCTTTTTGCTCGTGTTTCCATTACTGGCTGATGCATTCGACGAAGAAGAAGAAAACTGGTAAAGACTTTAATTTTCATTCTAAAAGGACACAGCTTCATGAGAAATATTCCCAAGCTAAAACAGTTATATGGAAACTTAGGAATTGTCTTGAAATCTCAAGTTTCAAACGGCCATGCAAGGTTCGGCTGAATTGATGCAGATGTGTCTAGTGCCACAATCCATTCGATTAGGTTGGCGCGCTCCTCTTAAACCAATTTCAACGGCTTCCAAAATCTCTTCAATCATTGCTGTCCCGGAGCCCATCAGACACCCTAAATTATTTATAACACAGATGTGCACCAAAATTTTATTTCAAAAAAATTCTTTTGAAATGAAATTTTGGTGCTCTCTGTGTTATACAATACTTCCAGGAATTGTTTAACGCTCTCATTACTCACTGAACTGAAGACAAGAGTTTCAACTTTTCAGTCCTTACGGTGTTTGTTCGGCCAGCACCTCCTCGAAACCTTACGATAGCGCCTTTTGGAAGCGGGCTATGCACTGGGGACGATGTCATCATCGGTTAGCCTCCGTTTGTTCGCTGCACCCCCTCGGCTTTTCGACAGTTTTTTCTGTTTATTTTAGACATTATCTGCATTACTATACAACAAAGCTCGAATTACCTAGGCGGAGGACATGTGAGGTCTCAGTGGAGGTAACGAAGATGCGATTTCATTACAATTAGGCAACATTCAGCAAGAAAACATGTTATCTGACGAATGATTTCGGAGTAAATAGTACAACAAGAGCAGTAGTTTGAGTTAACTTCTTAACAGCTTCACAAAACGTGGTAATTTGATGGAAGCGGTCTCACGTGAGTTGAGAAAAGCTTGAACATGAAAGAACAGAACAGAGAGCCACAGGAATTGCGAGAGGTTTTTTTGACAATTTACCTAAACCTTCTTGTTTTCAGCCTTGCTGTTACTATATTGAGCTCCAAAACTTTGGATATGCGCTTAAAGATTTGTTTGGTTGTTTTGAACGAAACTCTGCGCTATCGTAAGATACGGGTGCAACGAAGTGATGCGTTTAGAACCGCATCTGCTTTTTGCTGAAAACGGGCTGAACACTAAACGATGAAAAAGGGACTACAGAGCGCATGAGCGGTTTTCGCTTTTCCCGAACTTATCGCCATCTACAGGGCTCAGCTCCGAAGCATCCTCCGTACCTTGCTGTAGCGTCTAAAACTCTAAACGAACTTCGACAATCCAACCACTCCCCTGTTAAGTCTGTGCAAGCAGTGGTCGAATGCTTGAATAAAAAAAAATATAGACTGAAGACAGTACAGAAAAAGGGAAAATCTCCTGAAGCCACTTGACACAATTTTGTGGATTCCAGAAAAATCTACACGTCTCTTTGCCATCATTCATCTGGAGGTCTCAGACATTTCGACCACAACGTCTTCCTCAAAAAGGTCGGTCCACCAGACAAGAGCGGAACTGGACCATTCTGGGTGAGATATGGTTAGTAACCATAAGCACTCAGAAAACCATAACTGACCCAGAGCCGCTTTGTTCCGCTCTGGCGGTTGTGGGCTGGGTCTTTGAGGAAGACGACTAGGTCGAAACGGGCTGGGCTATCGATAAATTCTCCACCAGAAATCTTCGCTGGAAGAAGATTAAGCGGTAGAAATGATAACAGCCGTCCGAGCTTCTGAAAGAGAGAGCTAGAGGTTCAGAAAAACACGATTCATTGTATGCTAATACAGTCTCTGTTAAGCGCATGCAAGCTAGGAGAGCTAGGTAGTTGTACCAATGTAATTATCTATAGATCTGGGTTCAAGAAGTGTCGAAGATCATCGAGATCACATCAAGTGTCGAAGATCATCGAGATCACATCAGAGTTCGAACTGGACATCTACGTAACGGAGCGATGGACTGATCCAGCTCTTGCTTACGCTCATCTGAACCCATGCAAAAGGTATGATCCTGGGCACCTGTGCTTTTCTGAGGATTATTGACTGTTTTTACCAAAGGTTTCTTATCCTTCTCACAAATTCTTCCTGGATGAAGTATAATTAGAACGGGTCACCTTGATACGGATGTTTTTAGCTCACACTTGCACGGCTTGTATTCGTTTCATTTGCCGCCATTAGCATAAACTATTCAGTTCTGACTTTCACAAGAAGAAACAGCTGACTTCAAATCCCACTAAGATGGGGAAGAAGTTTCCAACTCTCATCTTTCCAAAATTCACATTCATGAGAGAAATGTTGCTTGTGGCTTCATTCCCCACCACGTCCTTCTGAAATATCGAGGGTAGTGGGACCCTCACTGTGCTTGAATACGTTACTTTACGTAGATCTGAGGACCTCATTCCAAGGGAGTTCTTGTATTGCCTTCATTTTGAGAACCGACAACTTTCATGTTTTCTTTCAGCAATATGTCTGTTGACGGTCGTACAATCCTCGAGAAGATTTGGAATCCACATGCGTGCTTTGTGAACAGCAAATTGGCGAACATCCATTCGAGCCCATTTAAGAACATTTTCCTGCAGATCTACAGTAACGGTAGCATTTGGTACAACTACCGTATCAAGCTCACTGGACCATGCTCAAACACATTGAGGTTCGCTGATTGTAATGTTGACTGATAACACTTTGGGGAGAAATCCTGTTATAGGGGGGGGGGGCACTCCATTGTGTTCTTCATTTAAGATAAGCATGAGCGCGCTCATGGCACGTAATAGAGCATTTAAAGTGAACTTTTGATGAGTATGAATGCACTGTAGGAGTACTCCTGAGGTGCGGTCTGCAATTGTTCAGGGAAACGGTCCTAAATCAGAGGAATAATGAGCTTTGCTTTGGCCTAAGGGTGAGGAGCTCCAGGGTGGATCACCTGTGCAGAAAAGTGGATGGGATGTGGGCAGGTAGTGTGGAATGTAGGACATCCACCGGTCCTTATCAAAAGTACGCTCGAAATGAGTCGTTCACTTATTATCTTATCCTTAGTCTTACGGTCAGAGAGCCCGAAGGAGTGCTCTCCGAGACTAGTGTTGAAGGCAAACCCCGGGATTAGCCCGACTAGTAGGAGGATACGAGGAAAATTGTAAGGTCCGTACCTACCTAGATCACTCCAGCTTCGTCGCAAAAAGCGCGGTTAGGGCGCTAATCCTTACGGGCCTGCAACCATCGACCCCTTCCCACCCACCGCGAGATGTGGTGAGATCAGCGTGCTCTCTCAAACGACGTGCTCTCTCGCGTATTTTGTCTTCTTTGATCGCCCTGTCTCGCCATCGTACCACATCCGACCTTATTGAAGGTTAAGGCCTTAATTTCAGCGTTCCCAAGATTTCTCTTGCTTTCCTTCCACTTTCAGGTCGTTCCGCAGCTAAGCTATCACTACAAAGCGCTCATAGCACCAGTTCTATCCCGTCGTTTGCCTTTAAAATACCAAGGAGTGCCCCCCCCCCAAGCTAAATTTTCAGACATTTGGGTGTAGTAGAAATCTCAGAACACATATGCGCACATTTTAATCCATTTTGTTTGTTGCTACAGTGTGGAGCTTGCATCCAACTACAGTTCCTTTCACATATTGTAGTAGGTCTGCATGATTCGCCCACTTTGTGCCTAATTTATGAATTAAGCTCAGAAGAGGTGAAGTGAGATCAGATGGGAGATTTTGCATCATAATTGCGCTCGTAGAGAAAAAATCTATCAATCACGGAGTTGTTTGGCTTTTCCCATAGGAATAGAATTATAGAATTGTATTCTGATGGATAGCACCAGGGAAACAAATCACACTGGTGCAACGCTCAGTGTAGTTCTGGGTCCTGTTCGTGGAAAGAAAGCTACTTCTTGAGTGAAAGCATAAAGCATTAGTTAATCAGTCCCTTTGTGGGATACGCCACGCATTTAACACCACTCAAAGCAATAGTGCTATTCTGAATGCGATTTGGCCTATGTTCTGAATGCGATTTGGCCTATACAATACTTTCGGGGACAGCCGATGTACTCTTTAGTGTGTTTTTCCCACGGAACCCTTGTTTCATTTGGCGAACTAACGTCTTCGGGGTTGGATGCCCCGGGTAACCTGGACGCGTATGCGGATTTAATCGCCAGATCACACCCATGGTAAGCAGCGCCACTTGCCACGACACCACTAAACACTTCTTTGTACTAGTGATTAACCTACAATTCTAAAAAAAAAGAAATTTCAGAACCTTCCCTATCGATCAGCAACGATGTATGCTGTTCTACGAGAGCTTCACGCACAACCATGATCAGGTGCGTTCATAAACGTTTTTCACGATTTGAAGGAAGAGTTTACCATAGGTCGTAAGTCGAAAAGGAGACTTACCTAGTGGGAAGATAGTCTGATCCCTAAAAGGTGCGAACCAATTCGCGATTCGCAGCGAAGGATATGCCCTTGGCGATCTAGCATGGCCATTCCCGCGGCGCTATCGATGCGGCACGCCCACCGACTGGCTAACCACTCGCCGCAGGTCTCTAGCCGTTTAGCAGAGAGAGAGAGCGTTAGCGTTGAAGAGGGCAGCACCGATGAAGGTCGCATCAATGCGGAATTCAACGAAGAGATTGGAGGGAGCTGCTCAAGTATGTAGTGCGCTGAGTTACTAATTCCATACTTCAACTCTATTAACTTTTTAGCGCCTCTAGAAGTTTATCCGCAAAGTATTGAACCTGCTTTATGTTACTTATCGTGCATTTGATTGCTCTGTTGACTGTAGGTTTTTCACAATAATTTGAAATTTACCTGGAATTTGCTCGTACTTGGGAAGTTCCTCTAAGATATTTTTTATTCGTTCTTACTCCCACTCATCATCAGAGTCAACCCTGCGTTGCGCAGTTCTCAACGGCCACGTTGCGCAGTTTCGCCCGATTAGACACGTTCTCTCGCGCGAACATTCACACTCGCATGCTCGAGCCGTCTGCGTCTCCGCCCATACAGCGTGCGTTGAGGATCTCTCAACGTGCCGTTGCGAACTGCGCAACGCAGGGTTGACTCTGCTATCATGAGTACACTGGTTCAGTGAAGAAGGCTTGTTGAAAGACAGAGTGTTGAAAGATCTTACCAACGAAGAATTAGAAGACATAATCAATCGAAACTGTGCTTGTATTGAGGACACAGTACAAGAATATGTAAATGATAAGCATGGACACATCGTAACAGGAGATCTGAACATAATAAAAGAAGAGAAGCTCAAAAGAATTATGAGCAAAGGAACTAGATATAGATTGGACAATGGCATAACCAGACCAGAAGTCAAGCAAATATATGAAGACACAGTTAACAAAGCTATTTCTTATTTCAAAAACAAGTATAAGGCTAACACGCAACAAGTAGATCTTCTGCAACAATATCTACACACATGTTACCATGATAAAATAAAACCACTATTAACAAAGTGAAAACATCCAAAATAAAGGGGAACACATACCGTACGAGTTAATAAAACGCTATCAAAACAGTTACGTCTTTTGTCCCCTTGATAAAGCTAGCAATAATTATGGAATAATTTGCAAAAATACTACTTGCTTACTATAATGAAGGAAATGGGCATCACATATGATATTAACAACCACATCTATATTAATGAAAACACTAACAATACTTATGAACCAGTACAATGCGATAACAAGTATTCGTTGATACTGAAACACAAGTTCCTCTGTGTTAGAAATAACATTAATACATTTGCAGATGCGGATCTGCCTATCACATATGAAAATCTTAAAATCTACACAGCAGATTTCGCAGACATGTTCACTAATTTAGAACATAACATCATCATTAGGAACATACAGCATATCTTAAGCATTTGCTTTAAGAATGCTAATAAGTCGCTAATAGCCACTAATGGCTATCACGTCTTCTATACAGATGGTGAATCAACAACTAAAAGCTATAGATATTACAAACCTGCTGATTTAATATATTTCACAGATTATTTGTTGCTAAAAAACAGTTATTGCACATTTGGCAAATATATATTTAAACAAAACAAAGGAGTACCACAAGGAGGTAATTTCAGTCCACTGTTAGCTGATCTTACCCTCTCCGTTATGGAATACAATTATGCAATAAGATGTAAGTTTAATAAAAATAAGTTATTCATTCCATTCAGATATATGGATGATTTGCTAGTAATACATAACCAAACCGAGGATAATATTGACAACATCTAGCAGAAGTGTACATGAATACACTTGAATTGAAAAAAACACATTTAAGTGAAACATCTAGTAATTATCTGGATCTAACAATTAGTATAATAAATGACAGAGTTGTAACTAGATTGTATAACAAAACAGATGATTTTCAGTTCAAGGTCATCAGATTCCCACACAATGACACAAATATCTCCATAAACAATAAAGGCTCCGTCATATACACTGAAACACTTAGAATAGCTAACACTTGTTCCGTTTTGACACATTTACTGATAAACTAACAGAATTCATAAGAGTGTTACTAGGAAATGGTTACCATGAGAACTTTATTATAACTAATATAGTTAAGTGCATTTATAAAAATAAGTTTATATGTTACAAATTTTCAATTGCTAATAATTATAAAAATATTAGTAAGTTAGTGGAAGGAATACTTCGTCACTAAAGTGCTATCTAATTGTTAGTGGAACAATTACAAACACCCACCTTTTACACTTTATAGTTTTACATTTTTAATCAACTTATTTTTTCATTCATTTAGTCAATATACAATTCATTTCATTGCATGCTCCTCTGCATGAAAGTACGTACATCAAGGTTTATTCGTCTTTCCCCTGTGTCTTTATTTCGCCAATCCCAACTCACTGATGAGCTCCGGGGATTGACGAAATAATAAGGTTCGTCTGAGGAAGGAGCGAAACGAACCGTATCTATTATTTTGTTTATAATGGTTTTTCTTTCTTAATTGCCTCCACAACTTATCAGCTTAAGGTGATGGTGAGCAGAAAAAAGTCACTAACGAAAGACTTTTGAGCGCTACTGTATAAACCAGTTCATCCTCGATAATGAACACGACCATGCCAAGACGGATTTGAAGACAATAGGGTTATTGAAATAAGAGGGGTATTTAAAAAAAACACTGCTCCTAAAAGGCCCCAAATATAGCTTAGAACAGATTCTGTGAGAGCTCGAGTTCATCACAACACATGTAAGTCGAAAAAAAAAACATTTTTAAACGTTGCCACTTTAGTCGTTCAGTTTTTTTGTTTAGGTGGAAATGGAATGGATTGATACTGTTCCGCCGATAACGATAATGAAAGGAAATATCACACTGCCGGATTACGTGCTCGTTGATTTCTCGGCTAGCACAGAACTACGGGTGAGCTTTCTTGTTACCGGAAGTAAAATGCTATTCATTATGTTTCACAAGAATGCTGGGTTGTGAACAAAACTTTCGCCCCAGGCGGGACTAGAACCCGCACCTCTCGCTTTCCGGGCAAGTGCGCTTTTAGCTGTTCATTATCCTCACAACTTGGCGGTGACAGTAATTGCTAATTTGTTTTTCGAAGTTGTTAATACAGTTTTTTGTCTGAACTGCGTTGGTTTCGAAAGCCCATAGCTGCTATGTATGAACTTGCCTCCGTGAAACTTTACCTCTTGTTCTGTTGATCGAATTCAGTAAAAACCTGTTGAGAAAGTTTCAATAGCTGAGAAATATTATGTTGCTGTTGTGTTGTTGAATGCACCCATTTAACGACTGTTCAGCTTTATCCACCTGGCATTTTCAACGAGCTGATTGCCACATTCACTTTTCAACGATTATACGGTTTCTATATTTTACAGGTGGGTCTACGTTTTCCAGTCAAACTGAACTAACGAAAAAGAAACAGTAAGAAAATGAAATAAACAGCAAATAAAACAAATGAATAAGCGAACCAGCAATAATAAGACACAAGTCGCGACCGGTTAAGAGAACTTGGTAAATGGGTTGAATGAAAACATCACACCTCTTAATTTCATAGTATTCAATCCATCGTACCAAGCCTATGTTTCTGCTGGAAATGGTTAGATGCTAGCACGCACGCCAGCAAGGTAGGAACACCTATATCACCTGTCGTCCCGTTGATCGTCGATTTGCTCGAGCGGGCGCCAGCAACGTCTCCATTCGTCCCTGTCGCGTGCAAGAGTTGTCCAGTCCCTCGCTCGAGGGACACGAAGTCCTTCATTCCTTTCGTTCAGAGCTTTCGTGAAGAAGTCTGACCATCGGGCCGGCGGTCGTCCAGGTGTTCGTTTGACGTCCCGATCCAGTCGGTAACCGCTCTGGTCCAACGGTCATCGCAAAATCGCATGACGTGTCCGGCCCACCTTATCTTCGATTCCTTGGCGAAAACGGCAGCGTCCCTGATCTTCGATCGTTGGCGTAGTTCGGAACTCCGGATTCCCCTCTGCACTTGCGTGTATAGGGTTACTCCTAGCATCGTCCTCTCGACAGCGCGTTGGATAACGCTGACCGCATGCTCGTCCTGCCTGCGCAGAGTCCAAGTCTCTGAGGCGTAGGTTAGGGCAGGAAGGACAGCGGAATCGAAGAGGTGGGCACGGAGCCGGATGTTCTTCGTCTTCTTCACTACTCCCTCGATGTTCTTAAACGCTCCCATGCCGCCCTTCTCGTCCTACTCGCGGGTAGCGCACTATCATACATTAATACTAACTCTGTAGTCGGTAGAGTATGAACCGAACTTAGCTTTTCCGTTCAACTATTCCTCCAGTCAAAATAAGCGGAATTAGAAAAGAAGGCCGGATCGCAAATTTGGCCGCATCATTGCGCAACTTCGGTCAATATGTTCTTAAGAGTAAGTGCGTCCTAAGTAGCCGTCTTCCAGCGCTTGGTATCGTGCAAAGGTAAACTAGTTTTTGAAGGCAGCGATTACGATAGGTTCAATCAGGTTGCTGGAAAAGTAATGCGGGTTTTCGACCTCCATTTTCAAAGAGGCATATTTTCACTCAAATTGAACATTTTCTGTCGAAACAAAAAGTGTTGAAAAAGCGTTGCGCTAATCGTTCTTAACAAGAGGCGCTCTCGAATGTCTTTTCCACATTGTGGAGGCGATGATTTCGTCGAGCATCATTTTCACATCAGTTTGAACATTGAAGCTTTTCTTACTCAAGAAGTTGACGAGATGGTTGGAAAAGGGGGTATTGGTGAGGAGAGGGCCAGTGAGCAAGACGTGTGGATCGGAGCTTCGTACGCCAGTTTGTTCAATACTTGCGAGGTCGTTTATGGGACGTGTGGCTGAGCGCCACATGAAAGAGGCTTTGTTTCACTTCTCTCGGTTGACGAACTTGATGTTTCTAGAGCATCTCATCGGTATGCTGGAGAGACATTGGTGTTGTGTTAAATCCACCTGGTTTCCAAGAGCTGGGTTGGATCAGCCCCGTGGAAGACTGCCGAATGTAGCTCAACTTTATTCTTCTATAATTTCGTCTTCGGAGAACTTTTCAGCAGGCACAGAATTCAGAGCATTCGCTGCGCACGCATTCCCTTCCGAGGTGTTGCTGGCACCCACTGAATCCCACCTTTTTACGGATTCCGTGGACACATCACCGATGCAACCGCTCGACTCCATTCACGGGGCACGACATCTGCTCTTGAACACTGTAGACAAAAAATCCAACGAACTGTTATTATTCATACTAATGGTGTTATTCGCGCAACCTTCACGTGCAGTAGAGAAAAGTGCAGTTTTTTTAGGTATACGTCCCCGCCTATATATCTGTGTTCATTTCATGGGTGAGTGATTTTTGAAAGTTATTGTTTCTAATTTAATGTTTTTGAATGATGCCGCAATTATTGAAGGCACACTCAGTGGAAGCAGGAGTGAGGCAGTTGGGCTCAATTACGAAGCAATGGGCTCAATTACGAAGCAATAAGTTTCAAGAAATTACAAGTAAAGCAAAAAAGAATTACTCGAAAATGCCATAAGGAAGACTCTTTGTTCTGTGGGTTGGGAGATTCCAGCTGAGGGAACGAGACGAGAGTATAGCGTAGAGGGAGATCCTGCGAACGAGCAGGCTTGCTTGGTTGTTCAAGGTGTCCATGATGCAAACTTCAAAGCCTTGTAATGCTTTTCGCATCACAAAATGGGCCGATCTTTGTTTTGCCCCAACAACGTCATTCGAAAGAGATTGATTCTATGGCCTTATCGCGTAGTGTGCCTTCGGGCACTGTCGACCTTATCAGGGGATTAGTCAGATTTGTGATCTCTAGATTCCCTCAGTTTATTTTATTTCAGGTCTCATTCTACCTCGGTGCTGAACAAGTTCCGTCTCGAACGACAGTCGGTGTGAATTCACTATTAGCTCTCACGTATGTTCGGAACATCCTATATCTTTCAATAGACCTGGTTAAGAATAACCCTGGCAAATTCTTCAGCATTTGCCTAACAATTCCTTAAAAGAAGTTGTGAAGCAACCAAGCGAAGCGGTAGCGACTCCAAACTCACTAAAAAAAGTCTAAAAGTCTGAGGGTCGAATCAAATGCGAGTCAGTACTTTTGCCTTCTTCTGGTGTACCAAGAAAAATTTCTGACATCGTTTTCCTCTACTGTATGGAAAGTTTGTGAGCTGTTGTTCAGAAGCTTAAGCACTAGCTTATGAATTCCAACTGTACTCTGCATGGACTAGAACTCCCATAGAGTTGATCCCACGACCTCTTACCTGCGAGCCGAAGTCGGTGCGGTGCTTTTCCTGCTTTCCAAATTCTTTGAGCCGTTTTACAGATGACCAAAGCAGATTTGAACGCAGCGTCTCCGGGCGCGCATGTATATAGGTGAAATTTTTTTCTAACTCGTTGGGCTGACCTGTTGACCTTTCCTTGTGATTATGCTTTATGCTTTTGAATAAAAAAATATAACATATAAACAGACCCGCTAAAAACGTCAGAGAAAAAGCTTTATTGGCGCTCAGAATGTACCAATTCTAGACAATTAAAAGTTCTCATCTTTGCCTTACAGAATAAGTAATATTTAGGTTTCAATTTGGCTCCGTCGTCAATAATCTGCCCAAAACCAGTGATGTGAAAGGTTTGTTCGAGCAACATTATTTGACTTCTACTGACTGAATTCCCTGAATCAGCTGTATTCCCGCGCTTGCCGAAGTTCACGGCGAACCGCCGTATCCAGTCTTCAGCCCTTCAGGCACCGCTGCTTTCCAGCTGGATCTGCTATGCACGAGAGATGACCCCGAATTGGTACTCTGAAGACGATGACGAACATGAAACCAATTGTTGTCTTCTGAACGCAGCGATCAGTTATTGTCCGCAAGTAGGGCCAATCCAAAAGAGTTTCAACGCATTGCAAATTTGGCTTGACCACATCCAGGTGTAGTATAAAAAGACAAGCAGGTGACAACAGCATTTTTATTTCCAGCCATTGATGTTTGGATCCTCAGTTCGATGGCATTCATCTTTGCTTCGCTTATTGAATTGGCCGTTGTAGGATATCTGTCCAGGAACGGCCATCACGCCGCTATTAAGTGAGTGGAGATTCTTTTTTTCATGTAGATTTTGAAAAGAAAAGATGATGATTTTGAAAAGAAAAAGATTTTTGTCCTTTAACCTGGACTGAAACGGATAATATTGTAACACTGGGGAGTGGGGCCTCTAATGCGGTCATTGCCACTCAAAGGCAGTGATCACAATGACGGACGTTGCGATTTGGATGACGTTATTAAATGACATTGGTGAAAAGACGTTGAGAGGTGGCTCCAATCACATCCCCTAGCGCATTGAGCCATCTAGTCCACTAACGACGTTCAATGACGTCACCATATCGGCACCACCGTCCGCTGCCGTGACCACTGCCTCTAATTCGATACAAATTAATTTTTGTGGTAAGAAAGAAGTCATGCTACTGCGAACAGTCGTTATTGAGCCTCTCCATAGGTTTTTGGCGTCTCTTTTATCAGCACACAAAAATCCACCTGTACTTCTATCAGCGTATGAATATGTGGAATTTTTTATGCACAAAAAAATAATTATAACTTTGTAACTCACACGCTAAATAAATTGAACATAATTATCCTTTTTTGTGTGGCGGCGTGCTGCACATGGGGTGGCAATAGGTTGAGGGGAATTCTTCAGTCGAGAGTAGCTTGTGATGGTACTGATAAAGATTGAGAATACGCTGTCTCAGTATACGCCGCCGCAAGAGTGAAGTTTGGCCTCTATTCTTTTTTTCGTTCTAAGAGAAACATTTCGCTTCATAATCGTAACCGTTCAAAGCTATAAGGTTTTGCTTAACTTTGACTGCATTGAGTTCCACAAAACAAATGCGCTACCTCTGCCTCTCTTACTATTCTTGAAAGCGGTTTCTTACCTGGCAGTTTACTTCGTATTTGAAAGCGCTGTTCCTTCTTCAGGTGCCATTGTTCCTGGTTATGTATGAAATGTCGTGACTGGACTGCGATGAAACTCGATAAGGTAAGCCTCAAGCGATTTAAAGGCAACAACCAGGATTAAGCCGATGTGGTAATTCAGCTATGAAAATGGGGACGGGAGCTGGATCAAACCGGGAGAAAAAGGAAGAGAAAATCATGAATAACATAGAGATACGAGGCATTTGCTCTACGTGCGGAGAAGTTCAAAAGGCAGGCAGGGAGATGAGAGATAATGTGAGCGCGGAGAGCGGTAGAGAAGTCCGAGAAGAGAGAGCATAGCAGATCAAGTTAGCGACGCAGACAAGATATCGAACGGTGGGCGGACCATGTTCAGGTTTGGTGGAGCCTGTTAGAAGTCCTTAACTCCAAACGTCCCACAATTAGTGAGGTGTTTTGATATGATTACGGAGCAATGGTCAACCAGCGCGTGAGAGTCCAGACAGAAAACACATACTTTCTGCTTTTCTAGGACTAAGCCTTTGAAGGAAGGAAAGAAAGCAGAGATGCTGTAATAGTGTGCATATGCGAGAGTGCCCAGAGAACACTACAAAACGCTGAATCACCAAGCCTTTCGGTTGACCGCTGCCTTCGGATCGTCCAAGGGCAGCGGTCAACCGAAAGGCTTGGTGATTCAGCGTTTTGTAGTGTTCTCTGGGCACTCTCGCACATGCACACTATTACAGCATCTCTGCTTTCTTTCCTTCCTTCAAAAGGCTTAGTCCTAGAAGAGCAGAAAGTATGTGCTTTTCTGTCTGGACTCTCACTCGTTGGTTGACCACTGCCCCGTAACCCTTATTTGAGTGGATCTGAGCCCGAACTTGCCTCCAATGTAAAATACTCGAGACTCCGAAACAAATTAATTATTCAGCATCACATGATTTTTGAAAAGTACCAGATTACACTTAGATTACATTATTGCTGATTTCTCCTCTTCAGGCCTCATCGGTGATATTTCCGACTTGCTTCTTTTTGTTCAACATTTGGTACTGGTTTGTTTTCTTAGGGTGAGTTTTATGTCTTTGTCATCAGCTTCATGTGGGTGTCTGGTATGGCGATGAAGTACTTGTCGCTGGAGTCACATTAACGCTGTACCAGTACACGGTGAGGCTCCGCAAATCTACCGTGATTGCTTACACACCTGGAGTCTCTCTCTCCCTGCTCAAGGCGTAGTCCCGTTTATACCAGAAAAATTTTTGCGTGGTTCAAATGCGCTACCTCCTCACTGCACCATGTCTTGTGATAGCGCCGAATCGCTACTTTCGGAAGCTGAACCCATCGAGACTGCGTTCCTTGACGAGCTACAGTGACATCACACGGATAGCCGATATAACGGAATAGTGGTGAATCTAAGGGAATTGTTGTCCGGCAGGTTGTATTTATCCAGACCTGATTGAATGTTTGGTTGGTATGTATCGACGGCACAGAAAGTTTTAGACTATAGTGTAGTACAATGGACAAGTCTCACCTACGATCTCTACTCTTCTCTAACTAACCATATTCCACCAAGATTCAGGTCAGACCCAGACTAAGCTTATACAAAACTTTGCATTCTTTCATCAGTAAACAAGAATTTGAACCAAGCATAGGTTAAGTGAACCTGTTGATGGAGCCTTTTCACCTATGCCAGTGAGGCTTCAAGTGAGTGTGGAGTGAAAATGGGATTATGTGTAATGCTACTTCAAAGGCACAGTCCTTGGTCTGAATTTTACTCTGAACTCTGGTTTCTGCTCGCTTGCTAGTACCCTCACCCTTCGTCTCCTGAAGCGGGGTACGCGCTCCCATTATTCTTTTCTATTTACTTACGCTCCTACGTTTTATTCCATCCCCTTCTATAAAGCATTCAAGGTCCAAAATGTGTCGCAGAATCCACAAAAGTGGGGAACAGGGCTGTTGAAGTGGTAAGATTTGCCTATCAGCCTAGCTTGAAGGGGATATTTTGTGTTTCGCAGAACAAGGATATAAATAGTTCCTGAGGACCGGCAGAACTGTGAACTGTGCCTCAGTGCATGAGCATGAATAAAACCCATCTGGTTAAGAGAATGTTTAACACATGCGCATGTACTGTGGTAACCGGGAACCATGACGCCTTGTGTTTTTAAGGATCATATGAAGAAAAAATGTTGTGAAGTGACAAGGTCATCTTCAATCAAGCTATGTGTAGTTACATAGAGATGTTGACCATTGTGTGTTATTTAAAGGCAACGGTTGCGATAATATGATTCCAATGAAATCAAGGGCAAGGTGCCAAGTGGTGTGAAGCAGAACCCTAGGGAAAAGGTCAGGACCCGAAAAAATCGGTCCCTTTCTCCCTGCCAATTTCACGTTTGGACAATCGTAAAGGCATGGGTCGAGTAAAAGCGGGTTAACCCTTTGACGACAATGCGGATTTGCACGTAGCGTGCTCGTGGGACCACGCCTCTTTTTGGCGCGCCCAACTCTCGCACAAAATGGGGCAAAATTGTCCCTAAAAGCAGTTTTTCTATCAAAATTTTGACTATGACAATAAACAAAATATGACTGCAGTCTTAAGCTTTATGATCATGTATTGTTGGAATTAGAAGTGGAAGTTTGGAAAGAAATCTCGGATTTCAAAGGGATGGTGTTTGAAAACTCTAGAAGTTCAAATGTACAGTAGAATTTTGATATAGTTCAAACTCCTTGTGTCTTAAGACTGTGAAAAGACGTAGAGGTCCTGATCTGTAATTCACCTTAAGCTTAATAATGTAAAACACTAGTTAATACATCGCCGAGCGAAGTGCCATATCCTAAAATTTCATATAAATTAGCTAGTAACAAACATTTCTGCAAAATATGCTAAACATAGGCGTAACGGAGCTTGCTTATAATTACTGATATGTTGAAAATGTTTTAAATGGGTAAAGAAGAAAATTTTAGGGTGGCACCCACCATTGGGTGCCATTGTCCCACGCGACGGTCATAGTGGCACCCACCGGTGGGTGCCA